CCACTCTTGACGTTGCACATTCTGTGGGTTTTGACAAATGCATAATGACATGTAGCCACCACTATAGTATCATACAGAGTAATTTCATTGCCTTAAAAACCCCTTGTGCTCCATCTGTTCATTCCTCCCTCCCTCCCTCTCTCTCTCCAAATCCCTGGAAACCATGATCTTTTTATTGTTTCTGTAGCTGTGCCTTTTCCAGAATGTCATTTAGTTGGAATTGTACAGTTTGTACCCTTTTCAGACTGGCTTCTTTCATTTAGTAATATGTCTTTTAAGTTTCTTTCATGTCTTTCATGGCTTGATAGCTCATTTTTTTTTAACTGCACATATATTTTTAAAGTTACATATATGTACTGTTCATTGTTTCTAAAGTAACATTTAGAGCTTTAGCTTTTTAAACTTACGGAGGTATCAGAGGAATAAAGCCAACCACAAAATAAGAATTAATTCAAAAAGATACGTAGATCCTGCTATTAACAGTAACATTATTTAGGAAGCTTTTATTCTCGCCATTTTTCAGACAAACCGAAGCCCAGGTAGAGTGGCTTGCAAAGAGCCACACAAGACCCAGCAAGGAGTGCAGCTGGGATTAAAATTTAGCCCTGCCTTTATCCTAACCCTTCTTTCCTCTATCGAAGGCTGCCCAACATTCAGATGTTGAAAATTCTTTGCAGTCTCAGGGAGATTCCCCAATCAGCACCCAGGGCCCTTTTGGGTGCTGAGTAGATGCTAGTGAACATAGTTAAAAGGCTGAGGTCAGCTTCAGGAGGACGTGGTGTCCCTGCAGCACACTCTGTGCCCCAGGGTTCTCTCCAGCCTGGAGAACCTCCAGCCACGTGGAGGGCCCAGGAGAACATGCTGAGGTCAGAGCTCACTGCTCACATGACCAGCTGAGCTGCCTGGGCCAGGGCTCCCTCAGGGAACTTGAGAAACCCAGCTGGGTTCCATCACTTCCAAGAATAGCAACTGACCCTGCTCTCCCCAAGCGGGAGGCCTCCGATCAGGTTCCAGGAGGCCCCAGTGGACTCTGGACATCAGTGGCAGCAAGCTTTGACCTTGAAGATTCCCTGGGGTGGGGTGATAACAGCTGCATTTATTAAGTGTCCACTGTGTGCAGGGAACCTTCTGAAAGAGGAGACATCCTTGGAGGGAGGTCTAAGAAGTATGAAAACCATTTTATAGATGAAGAAATTGGGGCTCAGAGATACTGAGAACTTGCCCAAGGTCACAGTGAGTATGTAGCAGAGCAGGATTTGAGCCCTCTCAAGACCGCAGAAGACTCCTGGGCAAAGGAGACAAATGACATCAGCTTTCAAAATGAATGTTACTCCAGCAGAGTGGGGCCCATGTGCTTAGAAACGCAGGATTTGAGAGCCAGCAGAGATCCTAGAGAGCATCCCCATTCACTTGATCCTATTTCCTCATCAGAAATGAGGATCACACCCACACGGCAGGTGAATAAGCATAGATTTTGGAATCAGGCAGGATTTGAATCCCAGCTCTGGCGTTTCCTAATGATAAGACCTTGCCTAAGTCACCTGGCTGCCTCTCTGAGCTTGTTTCCTCATTCGTTTGTTCCACAAATAGCTTTTGAGCACCTATTGTGTGCCAGGCATTATTCCAGTAGCTGGGGATACATCAGTGAAAAAAGCAGACAAAAATCACTACCCCTGTCAAGTTTAAAATTTAGAGTTCTGGAAAACACCTGATAGGATTGTCATGGGGATTAAATGCAGGAGTGTACTGTGGTTAATATGTCTGGTAACGTAATAGTGTCTGGTAAATAATAGTCAGTTTAATGATATGATTATTCTAATGTGAACTTGCCTGGTCACTGCTCAGTGAAGGAACATTTCATTTGATGCTGAATTCAACCATTTCATTTAATAGTTAAGGAAACTGACACCAGAGAGGCATGAAATGCCTCCAGCCTAGAGGTAAGTTCCCAGTTCCTAGTCTGGTGTTTGTACCACCATCCACTAAATCCAGGGGCCTGTCTCTGACAAAGGGAGCCAGGGAGGGACAGGGGAAGACTGAATCTTACCGTCAGTGGGTTCAAGGTAGACTTATTTGATAGCTGCCAGAGCCCAAATGGGCTTTAGCTCTGTTGATGCCAAATGCTTCCTGTGTTTCTTGGGTGTGCTAGGAGCGTCCCAGGCTCTGCCTCCACATGCACATGTGGCAGGATGGGCTGAGTGTGGGGTGAGGTGGGGTGGGGTGGTGAAGAGCTGAAGATGTAGGGTGCTACTCCAGGCCGGCTTCATGGATGTGCCACCTGTGCATTTGCACCCGGCCCCACGCTTAGTTTAATGCTCTGCTATCACTGTCTTGAAATTCTTAATAAGTTTTGAACAAAGGGCCCTCCATTTTATTTTCTTTCCATTGGCCCCTGTACATTTTGTAGTTTATTTATCTAGTTGTTATGCTGTGGGGTGGGAGGCAGCAGCCCTGGACCTGCAGAGGTGCTGGGACTTGTCAGAGGCTTGTCAATCCTTTTTGGCCAATGGCTGAGTCACCACAGACAGGAAGGAAGCCAGACCAAGTCCCACCATAACCGGTCTGACTTGTGACTTCAAATCTCTTAAGAGGGTATAACCGGGCAATAGAAAGACAGGCTCTAAGGAGGTTCTGGGTGTACAATAGGAACCCACAGAGAAGGGGCCTGATCTAAGGGGGGTTTCAGCTCAGTGTGAGAAAGACTTTTCTAATAGTCAAAATATAGCCCTAGTATGTAAAATATACCTCAGTAAAACTTAAAAATACGATCATAATACTGGCAGCTAACATTGACTGGGTGCTTACAGTGTGCAAGGAGTTGTGCTAAGCACTTCACTGAAAATATGGAGTATGGCAGAGTGGTCAGGCATACAGGCTCTGGAGCCATACTGCTTGGGTTCTGTCCTGGCTCAACCACTTATTAGCTGTGTGACTTGGAGCAAATTACTTGACCTCTCTGTGCCTCTGTTTCATCATCTGGAAAATGGGGATGAGAATGGTGCCTACCTTCTGGTGGTATTGTTATTAAATGAGTTTGATATTAAATGAATACAGGTATATGTCAAACACTGTTCTAGTGTTTGACGTATACTTGTATCTAAGTGTTTGTTAGTTATTGTCTTATTTAATCCTCAGGACAAACTTGTAGTGTAGTATTATTTAACATTATTCTCGTTTAACAGATATGTAAACTGCACTTTGGAAGATGTCAGTGACCTGCTAATCACAGAGCTGGTAAGTAGTGGAGCTGGGGTTTGGCCAGCAGTCAGGGAAGTTTCAAGGAGATTCCACCTTAGGAGTTGCGTCAAACTTCATGACCATTAGCACACTGCTTAGACCAGAGTAGGCATCTAGTTGGATTTCCTTAAATTAATCAATTAAGCATTATTTCTTTCATCTCTGAGATTCTGAGAAATGTGTGCTCTGCTGGAGAAGGATTCAGGAAGCCAGCTGTCTTGAGATTTCTTACCAGTTGTTAGCCTCTGCATAATTAAGTATCAGGTATGTCCCACTCTCTGCCCTCTGAACTAATTGCCTGTGTGCTCCCTCCTCTCCTTCCTATGGGCACTGCCCGATTCTTCAGTCTCATCATCTTTCTGGACTCTGAACTTAGCACCACTGTGTTCTAACACTGGTCTCCCATATCTGTGCAGCATTTTGCAGTACAAAGTGTTTTCACATTTGGGGCTTCATTGTCCAGTGTGGCAGACAGTGCAGTACTCATGCCAGGCCTCTGAACATTTCCCATCCAGTCAGGGCTACCTGCTGTCGGACCAGGGCTGACTGCATGGGAGCAGGTGTGCAATCTGGATACATCAGGGAGCTTGGTGAGTTGCTGCTCTCTGGGTGGTTTTGGGGGATCTTCTAAGCCAAGGGGTGGACTAAAAGGGGCAAGGCTCTCACCAAGGAAGTGTTCACTGGCACTGATGCTTAAGATCTTGGATTTAGAACCAGTGCTCACGGAGGATTGTCTGAAGGCAGGCAGTCCTCAGCTCCTCTAGAAGTTTATATATATATTTATTGAGTTATAGTCAGCTTACAATGTTGTGTCAATTTCTGGTGTACAGCACAATGCTTCAGTCATACATGAACATACATATATTTGTTTTCATATTCTTTTTCACTGTTAAGTACAAGATATTGAACATAGTTCCTTGTGCTATACAGTATGAACTTGTTGTTTATCTGTCCTCTAGAAGTTTAGGAAGTATCCCTCCATGAAGTTCCAACTACAGAGGGCTGGGGCCCTAAAACTCGTCCCTGTCACAGAACAGCTTTCTCCCAAATTGCCGTCAACTTATATCCAGGTTTGCTGTAGGACATACAGTGGACCACCACCATATCTATATTACTAAGAGCAAACCCTCAGGCTGTGTCAGGTGCTGTTTTAAGTGCTCTGTAAATAAAAGTCTTTAATTCTCACACAAACCCTATAAAGTATGTACTGGTTTTATTTAACTCACAGAAATTTACCTCTACTTGCTGCGAATAAAAAGAGAGGTGGAGAGAGAAAACTCAGTATCTATTAAATATTTCACTCTTTCAGTGTATACTGCAGAATGACTGTGTCGTGTGGGAGGTAAATCTGTTGTCCCTTCATGCCTCATACTGTCCATGGTGTGTGTGCATTTCACCACACTGAGTGTGATTCTAGTATTTAAGGATATGTCTTTCCCCCAAGCAAGCCAGTCTCACCATGAGATATCCCACCAAAGAAACAGCAATCTGTTCCATTTCTAGAGGAAAAATTGGCTTGCTATTGAGAGATGGTTCTGTACACTACTTGATGGGTGATTAAAAGGCTTTCAAAGGATAATTTTAATTACATACAGCTTTTTAGAATGTGACCCCAGGTAACCTTTGAACTACAACTCACAAATAAAGTGACTGACTATCTCAGTTTTCCAGGAACTCAAAGAGTTCCTCGGACGCAAGACTGTCAGTGCTAAAACCAAGCAAGTCCCAGGTAAACCAGAATGAATTGTTCTCTCTATCACATCTCTGGGGCTATTGTGAGAGCCCTACTGAGGCCATGGTCCACTATATCATTCTTTTTATTTTTTTTTAATGGAGGTACTGGGTATTGAACCTAGGACCTCGTTCATGCTAAGCATGTGCTCTACCACTGAGCTATACACACCCCCCCCCAGCCCATTATATCATTCTTTATGAGGCTGTCAGGATAAATTCTTGTCTGGTCTTCATACCACGAATAGTTGTATGTCCCCTAAGGAGTAAGCAGTTTGTTTTTATCTCATGAACACAGTGAACTGTGTAAGTGAACAGGTTTCCCTTTCTGCCTTGGCTGCTGGAAGTCAGATTTAGCTGGGACACAGATTTAGCTGAGAGGTCGCTATGTTCTACACTTTTTGCACCATTCCAGCCTTTACTTTGTCTCTACCTTGTTTTGCTCAATCTTAATGATCCTATCTTAAACTTAATGATCCTGTTTTACTTAAACATCTTTCTGGATTAAGGCAAGATAAAATTAAATAGTTCTTAATTTAGTCTCTGGACTTTGCCAAGAGTCATTGAAAATTTGCAGTGATGTGCAAAATTTATGTGTATGTACATTTTTTTTTTCCTGGAGAGAAGGAGCCATAGATACTAATTTTTTAAAGGAGCCTGTATTCCCTGAAATATTCAGAACCATTGGTGTCAGTAAACCAAGAAACAAATAAATGCTTTTAGTAGAAGGAAATTGGAATATTGAAAGTTTCACTTGTAGTACATAAGGGCATTTTCAAATGTTGGAGTGATGGTATGGAGGCGTGTTGGCGGGGCCGAACACTGGAATGGCAGAAAGAAGAATGTTGGTGGGGTGGAATGCCCCCGTGGTGGAATGACAAGGTGAAAGAATGTGGTGTGCTGGAACATATTGTGTTAGAATATTAGTATTTCTGGAATGTTGATATAGCTGGGTTCCTAGAACACCTCCTTCCAGATGTCTTGGCATCTTCCTTGTTTAGTTGGGCTTCTATCTGATTCGGCCTCTAAATCTTCGACATCTCCTACTTAGTGCCTTATTAGAGCCCAGTGAAGACCCACTTGGTTGCTGGAGCCACGCTAATGGGCACCTGGCTGGCTCATGGGCTTCTGTCAGTTTCACCCAGAGACGCCTATTGCTTTCTGACTTAGCTTTTTCTCCTTTGAGAGCTATCTCAAATGCCTTGCTGAGTTGGGGCCCCAGAAGACTACCGTGTCCATTTCTATGTCCTCAGTGCCTTCTCAGGGCCTTCCCAGAGGGCATGCCAAGTCTACGGCTACTCTAGCGTAGCCTGGCTAAGCTGCTGGCCAGAGGGCAACCTGCAGATGGGGTTCTCAGGGCTGGACTTCAGCTTCTGGCATATTAAGGCAGAAAGCAACTCAGGATCCTTGGAGTTGGTCACGAGCAGGGGAAGCCAGGTCAGAGTCATTTAGGGGGAGTTGAGGCTTCATTACTAGGGGAACCTAACCTAAAGGCCAAATCCGGGAGTTGGGATAGCACAGAGACTATTGTCCCTTAGCCTGGAGTTTAGATTAGAAATGGAGAAGTTGGGGTGAGGGCTGGGTTGTTGGATGTTCTCTCCTCCTTTTCTCCATCCATTCATTCAGTGAGCTAGCATTTGCTGAGGCCTTTCTGTGGGAGACTTGTCCATACCCTGGAGTTAATAGCCTACAATGGGGGACACTGGCACATAGACAATGACAAGCCAGCGTGGTCAGGGCTGCAACCCAGCGAAGTTGTAGGGGCTGTAGGAGTCAAAAAATTTTCCTAGAGGAATGCTGTCTGAGCTGACTCTGGAGTCAGGAGCAGGTTGGAGGCTTCTGTGTGGTGGGAAGCCTGCCTCAAGGACCAAGGCACTTGGAAATTCCCCAGCGTCTAGGTGTGGGCCTCAGATCAAGGTGCTAATGAGCACAGACTGGACAGATCTTTGAGCCCACAAGTTTGATTTGTCCAGGTCTAATCTAATTGCCATCAGAGCCCTCTCCCCAGCTATTCCAATAACTGACAAGTTCAAGTCTGTTGCAGTCAATTCCAACCAGGTGATAATTGGCCCTTAATATCTGGAGACATTTCCTGATTATGAGAGAACAGGATATTCTGGAGGTGCAAAGCCTCCTGCCTCTCAGCCATCCTGCTGCCATGTCCTTCCTTCTGGGCCCACACCTTAGCCAGGCCCTCATCCCAGTATCTGGATGGGCCACACACTCCCCTGCTGTCCATCTCAGTTACATCAACTTTAAAATGAGCTCCGTAGTGGTGTGGGGAATGCTCACTAAACTGGGAGGCAAGACACCTGCATCCAAACCCTGGCTCTTGAGTGAGGCTTCATAGATAGCACTGGGTAAGGTTGGGAAGGGCACTTCCTCTCTCTTGGCCTCAGTTTCCCCATCAGTGAAAAGGGGAAAGGATGCGAACATTGCTAAGGCCTCTTCCTGCCCCGACATTCTGTGATTGTATTGAATCCTGGATGTCTTGCTTTCAGCCTGTTCCTCTGAAATAGAGGCTGTGTGACAGAGCAGACTATGGTGATGGTGGTGATGGTGGTGGTGGTAGCGATGACAGTGAGGATGGTGATGATGATCTGTCTGCATAGCAGTCAGTCTCTTGGAATAAACTACAAGTGTACATGTAGCCAGGAAGTTTGGGGACAGCTCCAAAGTCATAGGGCATATGAACAAATTTTTGCAAGCCTTCCCCATGGCTGAGCTCTTACTGAGGAGGAAAGGGGAATTAATCTTTGCAGACTACCCACATCCATTTGTTTCTTCCCTTCCTATGAGGTGGGTGTTAGTGTACCCACTTAGTAGCTGGGTGACCAGTAAATAAACCCTTCAGAGACTCAGTCTCTTCATCTGTAAAAGGTAATATTACCTGACTCAAGATTGCTGAAGGCTGTAGTGGACGTTGATTGCTTTTGGCTGCCCAGCATCCAAATACTTTGCCTATTTGGAGGAATTTAAAGCTATGTGGAAGCTAAAGGGGGCAGCAACTCTTCCCCTGACCCCTGTGGGTCTGGAGTGGGCTAAGTTGGTGCCCTAACTAGGCTTTGAGTCTGGTGGGAGTTAGAGGGGGTGAGGACAGCAAGAGATTACTTCAGGAGGAGGCTGCAGTGGGGACAAGAGCCCAGCAGTGCAGTGGTGAGCAGCAAGGGGCTGTGTGGCTTGAGGTGGCGTCTGTCCTAAACAGTTCCTATGGTAGGACTTTGGCCGTTCTTACCTGCACCTGATCCACATCTAGCTGTCCAGTCTCCCTCTCATTCCAGTGAGCCATCCAGTAGCCTTCCACTAAAGCTCTTTTTTGTTTCCTTTTGCCAGAGATGGTTTCAGTTGTTTGCAAATGAGAATCTTGACTGGTATGGAGTTAACTATATAATATTCCAGATGCAGTACCCAGCATGTAGTAAGCACTCAAAAAACTACACACACACACACACACACATACACACACACAAAGGTTCAGAGAGGTGAAATAACCTACCTGAGGTCACACAGCAAGGCTGTGGTGCTGGTATGGGACTGATCATGAACATCTTGTTGGTACAGTGTATATATCACTTTACATCACACATTATTGTTGAAGAGTTTAGTATTGATACACTGGTTCAAAAGCCTCAAAACGCCCTGTGAGGCCCACAGGACCAGAATACTCTCTTTGGACAGAGAGGAAGGTACTAGCTCAGTGTAATCCTGTAAACAGTAGTGGCCTGGAAGCCAGGTCTCAAGTTTGCAGCCCAGGAC